CCAATTGCTTAAATTGGAAAATTTACTGCGATGATCATTCTTCACTTTCATCTACAACCGCAGTTCACATATGAATTATTTCATATAAACTTCACAAACTATAAACAGTCTGCCTGTTTGCTGTTCAACAAAATAATAAGGTTTCTTTTGTTTTTCGTTCAACAAGATCTCCAAAATATGCCACTTGGAAAACTGAGTTTTTTTGCATACGTTATTTCTCGAAAACGAAGAGCACCCCAGCGAAAAAAACTTCAGAGCAATGTTTCTCAGGTAAAACGAAGCCCACATGCCAAAATTCAGCTATTTTTGAGCACTTTCAAAATGGCCAAAAAGTCTAGGGGTCACTCTTGCCTGTGGCCTTTCATATGACTCCCTGAATTGTATGATGCAAGGTCTCTATAACAAAGTTTGGAATAAAAAATGTCTCTTGGGAATTTCTTTTGAGCGAAACTGTCGGTAGTGCTTTTCATAAGTTTTGAAAACTGCATGAAACATTGCAAAGGAAGCCATTAAAGTGCACGTAATTGATGTGCAAATCACACGGGTATCTAATTATAGGTATCCAATTACAAAAAGTTCAAATTGGATACATGTTATTGGACACCCACGTGATCTCGCACCGATTACGTGACAAATAGGCGTGTAGAGAACCAATCACGATCAAGAATTTTGTTATAGATACGATTAGGTCTATAAGAGAGGAGAAATTCCAATCCTGGATCCAAACACTGCAAATAAACACAATACTGTTAAAATTGGATGAGCTTACACATTCAAATCATCTTCGAGGTGTTCAACTGTGTACAGTTGCCTAGAAAATTTGAACAACTCCAAGAAAGCGTCAAATCCTCCCTCCTGGACGAAAAAGTGCCTCTGTGCGACGGATCTCAAACATTTCCACGGGAAGAAAAATGAGGCGAGTCCTTCCACTGTATAAACTAGACGGTCATAAAACCCCCATAAGCTAGAAGAATCGTCTTCTATGTTGGGTAGCTGTCTTTGTAGCTTTTCGACAATAATTTTTTGAGCGGTGTTCTTCAACACTTCCAGTAGATCACTCATGCCTGGTATATCCGCTACAGCAAGAAATTGTACTTTAAAACAGTCACCCTCCCGGAAATACAATCTGCCGAGAGTCATGTCATCGTCTGTTATCGGTTGTCCCTGATAAAACAGCTGTTGATCGCAAACTGGTGCTTGAATGGCGGCCTGAATAGCGTACTTTACATCTCTGATGCTTGTGGTATCGAAGTCAGAAACAGAAAGCTTGGTTCTGCCCGTTTCTTTGTTGTTCTTGCAGCTGTAATCCACGTAGAAATCCATGATACAAGCGTTGTATGAGTTGCTGACGGGAAAACCAGATCACTTTGAATTCCGAGGAAAGATCAGACAAAAAGACTTCGATGCCATAGCGTAATAGCTGGTGTAAAACGACTGACCTGCTACTCGGCTGATAGATTGCATACAGCCGCCATGTTTACAAAACAGTTCTAACGAGATCCCATTGTGCTTTGCGAACTGGGCTGCGGCCGCTGTCGCCGCGCCCCTCCTTGGTTAAACCAAACCCTGTAATGCATGCAGTGTAAAGCAAGTGTAGCTATGTGAGGAAGCCTCAGCACGAGGCTCTGGGGAATAAACCCCACAAACTCTGTTGTTGTTCCCCACTACTATTATGTTTAGGCTGAATTTTAATATAACGAAATTAGTCAATTAAAAATTACCTTTCCTTCCGAGTTTTAGTTTCATCAGATAAAAGACCCCATAAGAACTTGACGCTTTACCACGTTTTAGCTCGACAGGGTTCTTCGTAATGGAATAGAGCGCGTTTGAATTTCCAAGCTTTTGCGTTGCGTGACATTAAAATGGCATCCCGAGAAAGCTGTCGCGTAGGTCAAAAGATGAATTACTACCAGTAGTGCTTAAGGTTTTGCTAACTGAAAAGTTCTTGCACTAGAAGTTAGTATTTATTTCAACGTGTCGGAACTCTAGAGTAATAAGTTTTCGTTTTAATAGCAAAACTCAATGACAGATGTTTCTGTTACTTTACGGCTGCCATGTTTGTCCGCCTCCGAGGGGCATCAGGACGTACAAAGCTCTATGAATCTGGGTGAAACATTTCTCGGAATGACGAGCGAATGAAAAACGGCAGATACCTTATTCTTGGCGAGGTTGTTTACATATTAATCGGCTATCATATCCCGGATTCTTGACGTTTTTTTAGTTTAATCATATGACCAGTGAAAACCGAGAATAGACAGGATACATTTTCACTTCCGTCAATTTTACGAATAAAATTCGATCTGCCTCGATCTGGCCCGATTCGACCGTTATTGACAACTAATTTTGTGATTTAAACCTGTTTGCTTACTCTCGGAAAGTATGCGATTTTTCTAAGACAATTTTAAGCTTAAATCTGCTCTTTATTTCATGAATTAAAATGATACTGCGATCAGAGGAATCGAAAACTAGTCAGCGATATTAAATTTCGGGTAATTCGCGTATTGCTTCAAAGTTTAGACTATGCTCTCATGCTAGCCAGTGTACAGGCTACTCTCAATCTTATGCTAAAAATAAAATTTAATGTAAAGTAAACGCAATGCCACTGTTACACTTCCGGTAGCATTACGAATGCAACACGATTTGCCCTGATGCCCTGATCTGACCCCAAGATGATACATATATCTAACAAGCATAATGAGTTATACCTGTTTGCTTATTCGCAGACAATGCGCTTTAGATGTTAGTTTTTAATCCACTCTGATTGTCATCTCAAGATTTTTCTGTGTGATTCAACTTGTTGTCGTTGAACAGAGGCCTCGGGCACTAAGCCCTGGGAACGAGGTCGTCGGACGCTAACAAAATGAAATGCTAAAACAGCCTGTCACAAATAACTACAAATGCTTGAGTCTTTAAGGTCTACATCCCAGTTCCCGAAAAGGAAAAAGAAATAAATAGAGTGTCTGTATAACGTGTTTGAAACTCGCATTTAAAAAATCATTAGCACCAAACCCCGTCAATTCATCGTCAGGAGCCCTTTACCCAGAGTCTCCATCTTCTATACTAACGTTGCAAGTCAACCCTTTCCCGTATATAAATATTTTAAGAAACAGGTCTTGTGGGAGTTTTCAGACGACCCCTTTTCAATACCCAATGATACCCGAGCTAAGACCACTCCTTGTTGCATGTTACAACAAAGACTGAGATCCCACTTTTGCCCTCTATTTGAATTTTCAGTACCCTTGCGCTAATTACGTTCAGTTCCAAACATGAAATGATACGGGAAAAGGGTTGACTCTACGTTCTAGTGCGGATGGAGGCTCCGGTGATGGGCTTCTGGGTTTATACGGCCTGTATTTCGTAGCCAAAATTGATTCAACCCGCGCAAATTGCCTGAATCACCCTACACAAGAATCTTACATTAGGAACGCAAAGAATGGTTTACACAGGGATGCAATGTCTTTTACAGGGATGTATAGAACTCGCTCCAGACCCTCATGCTCACGTGACTTTGGTCCTTTGGACTCGAGGCAATTTTGGTCATTTGGATACGAGTCAGATTTTTTTCCCTCTTCCTCCGGAAAAAATAAAAAAAGTGCGGATTAAAGAACCGTGCTCGCCCTAGGCCCCGACGCGGTTACTAAGAATGCCGGGAAGTGTTTTTTTCTTCTTTTACAAAGTTAACAAAGATGGCGGGTGGTTGTGGTCTTGTTCGGTCTTGTTGGGATTTACTTCTTAATTCTTCGTAGTATGGGAATCCTCCATAGCTGGTCAAGCAAGAATGTGATGGAAAAAATATTGGTGGATGTAACGAAACTAGTTTTACTGACTAGCCTGTAACGGAGGAGAGTTTTTATTGTCGTGATTTGAACTAGCTGGCCTTGGACACAGTCTTCACGAAAACTCTCAGCAAGCTCACAGTGTTAGGAAATTTAGTTCATCATGGAACTTAATGTGGAATTGAAATGTTCGGATACGAAGAACGTCCAACATTTCAAGATGACAGTAGAAGACTGGGATAGCAAATGTGTGAAAGAATTGAAAGAGCTTTTAGAGAACGAAATCCAGGTACCTGCCTGTGACCAAAAACTGTATTACGAAGGACGACTTCTACGGAATCACAATTTCTTTCCGCTTAAGAAGTTATATCTGCGTAAAGGTGACACTGTCTTAGTGGAATGCATCGCACAAGGTGATCTTGCAGAGATAAAAGATCTTATAAAAGAAATTAAAGAGTTTTGGAACACGATAACGTGTGAAGATCAAAGCGAGCTGTTGACGGTTACCAGTTCAAAGAAAGTTGACAGCAGCTCTTATGTGAGTTACGATTACATAGCTCGTTCTTTGGATCAGTTGTCTTTTGAATACTTTATTCCGTGGAAGAATGCCAAGTCACTGGTACACCGGCATTACTTTGTACAAGAAGGTGGTTTTGATGCGTTCATGGCAGTATTGAAGTTTGCCAGTAGAAGATACAAGATAGAAAAGAAACCAGGGTCAAAGTAAGCTTATGTTTGCTACATTATCATCCATCTGCCTAATAGTATGGTTCTTTCCAGTTGTTTCTTTCATTCCATGGATGGTCAGTGGTGTTTTCCATAAGTTCTAAACTCTATATTGAACAAATAAGAAGGAAAAGGGGGTTATTTAACATTTATTTTTCAGTAGGGGGGCAACTGGTTTTCACAGGCAGGCAAAACTTTTTGTAATGAACCTTTTTACAAGAGAAACATTCCTCTCAATGGTCAAACCAGGAGGGCAAAATCATCCTCACATTCGGTCAATTTGCCGGGTGCCCAGTCATTAGTGAAACCCTCGAGGAAGCCATCAAAGGGCATGTAACTGATGTGCAAATGGAATAGGTATCCAGTTATAGGTTCAAAAAAGTGAGGGTTCAAGAAATTGGGTTTCTACAGTAACTGAATTACCCCAAAACACTACCAAGAACATACCATAAGAAAGGGTACCAAAACTGCCAAACTAGACACTCCCCCAAAATTGTTGCACTTCCCTGTTTATTTGGATGATGCCTACCCCTAGTCTGTGCATGTCCAGACTTTGAAGAATTTTCTTAAAAGACATGTAACTTATTACTTTTGATAACTATAACATTCTTTTTTTTTAAGGAAATTGTTTGGAAAATCCAAAGCAGAAGACTCTTTGATATTGACTGGCCAGCTCAGAGACTTGAACCATGAGCAGATGATCTTGCATATGCACTGTTTGAGCCTGTTGTGGAATTTTTCTGAGACGCTGCATGATCGCAGGCTGGTGATGCACAAAGGAGGGCTGCCATTTGTCATAAAAGCTTTGCTCTCTGATCCTCTCGAGTACTTAGCTAGATCTGATGAGTACTGGGCGGTTGCAAGCTTAAATGAAACAGCTGTTGGCTGCCTTGTTCAGTAAGAGTTTTTTGTGTTAATAAATTATAATTCTATTGTCTAGCTGGGTTAATTGTCCCACATTAAAAACTGGGGAAATACATTTGTACCTCTAAATTGGTGGTTTTTAAGGTCAGGAGAAAATCAAGGAACTCAAGTTAATATATATACTGACGGAAATTTTTAGTTACACAGGGCTGTCATTAGCAGCCGGCAATTATCGCCAGCTACTCTGATGAAAATCGCCGGCTACTTCACTCACGAAATGACCCAGAAAGTTTAGATACCAAACAAGTGTGACCAGCATATTCATTTCCTTGGTAGAAATGTGAAAAGTAAAGCATGTTATTTCCGAATTGCCTACTATTCTTGATCAGCCATCTACTTCAAAACTTACTGAGAATAAATATATAAAAAAAACTGACTAATCATTTAATAGTACCATTCTTTTCAAGAAGTGAGACTTGTTAGGAATTTCTCTGAGGGAAGGCAATTTTTGACAATGGCAAAACATTAAATAATTATTCATTTTGCTTCATTTTGCTTCTGGGGGGGCTTTGCCCCCTGGACCCCTAACGGGCTCTACCCCTGTACCCTGTTGGGGGCCTCAGCGGACCCCAGACCCCTCACCTGTAGGGGGACCTCTGGCGCCCATACTCATGTATTTTCAAAATATCTCCGCCCACTTCAAATCTTATTGACAACCCTGGTTAGAGCTGTAGTGCAGAGTGTACTGTAATATTGAGATGGTTTAAGGGGGCCACCATCTGCTAGACCACTAAGCCACTAAAATCACCTCTTTAAAAATGTTTGCTTAACTAACTAATTTTAATTACTTAAATTAGCCTTGCAGCAAGGGTTTGGGTTGTGGTGGGTATCTGACTGTGTACAGAGTAAAATGTGTTACATCTATCCATGACACATTTAGGCATATAATGTTCCTCTTTGATAACTTTACAAAGCTACTGTATATCTGTATTGTTCCAAAAATCCCTTGTTCTCCTTGTTTTCTAACCAAAATCAGGTAATTTTAATTCTAGGTTGCTAACAAGGATCTTGTTGTAGTCAATAAAAATTGTTTTCTTCAAAAGAAGTTCAGACATTGCCTCCTTTTGATAGTACACAAATTCTAATGCATTTCACTACAGACCCTGTTGTATTTTCATGTTGTGACTATGTGCAAATGTACCAAGTAATTGTGCTCTCTCACATCAATGGTCTATCAACTACAGGGAGCATGCTTTTAGCCATGTAATCTGACGTACGTGTACATATGTTTACAGACTAAGATGAATAAACTACAGTGAGAAAGTTCAAATGACACAGGTTTGCTCTTAAATATTTTAAGTGTCATTGATAATGAATTTTTGTTTTATCATTTCACAGGTACGCCGAGTTTCCTGATTGTCAAGAAATTATTGCCAGAAGTTCTGAGACTGTTGGTAAACTCATGTTCATGGTAGGAAATCAGTTTTGTTCTCCTTTGGAGAGTGGACCGGTCAATAATTCAACTTACACAGAGTATTCAGCCCAGATTGCTGCCAATACATTGTTCTGCTGTGCATGCAGTTTGCAGACACCAAAGATTCTGGTGGAAAGCGGAATGGACAAAAGGATGTTAAACCTCATACAGCTATCAGTAAGGGATGATCTTGCTCTCAGGTATGTTCCTACTCAAGTTTTATCACATAATTTGCATGTAATATTTATACCCCGGGAGGGGGACTCCAATTTTAAAAGGAAGGGAGTGCTCATCAGAAATTTTGAAAAAACCCCTAAGAGGTATTAAGGTCCCATTTTGTGGGCATGGCTTAAAATATTTGTCACCCCTAATTGTTACCAATTCTAAAACAACATGCTATCTCCCATCATATTTTTTTTTAGCTTTATACCCTAAAAAGTACTGCAAAAGCCTCCACTGTGGACCTTTAGAGGCTGAGCATCGTGCAGGTAAGAGGTACGAAACTGCTAAAAGGTACAATGAGCACCCCTGTTCTTTTTATATGGGCGTCCCCTGCCCCCCTGTGAGTTAAACCCACCTTTTTTTTATTGTAAATTCAAATGGATGTTTTGAGAAAATTCAATTAAACATTGCAGCAAAGGGAGTACTAGATATATATTAAATAATTTATAAAAATGATTAATTCTTGTTAATAATAATAATATTATAAATAATAAATTGCTTTTATTATATTTCTTTCCTAGTTACTATTGTATTCTGTTCCTGGCAAGAATAAGGTCATCTGCACTGGTTTGTTTAGACCCTCAAACAGCAAAAAGCATTGATGATCTCATTGCCTCGTTCTTACAGCAGTACAAACCCATCAACGTTTCACTCTGGGAAGAAGGACACAATTATGTCTGGGTTACTATGACACCATTTGTTAGCCTGGCATTTTCAGGGAGAAAAGTTGAAACAGAACTCCAAAATTCTGTTTTGCACAAATCCACAGATGAACTGTTCAAGGCTAAATATGAAGCCACTTTGCTGGCCGAACAGGAAAAAACAGATGGTCCAAATTTTATCCCTGCAGAACACAGTGTTGTCCAGGAAAAGAATGATCATGATGATCAAGGTCAGGGCAAGCCAGTTTTCTCTGAGACTGGTATGGATAAAAGGGAACCCAAAAATCAAAATTGGTTTGATGCATCTTATGTAAATGGCAATCCCCCGTCTCTCGACACTGATGAAGCAGTAAGCCAATCTACAATGCTTGGATCAACACAAACTCAACAGCTTGGGCTTTTTACTGTAAAACATATTCTGTACTCAAATGAAAATCGCCAGCTTGTTGAACGGGAAAATTTGTTACCTTATCTCAATTGTTTATGCTGGCACGTCAATCCTGAAGAGGGCAGGCTCTTAAGAGCTGAATTAGCAAAATATTGGTCACCAAGACCTCCTCCTCTTAAAATTATTTGCAAGTCAATATTGGCTTTTGTTTGTGGGTTCGAGTCTGCTTTTAAAATGTAATTCCATAAATTACAACCCTTAGCATTTTTGTTAAAAAGGTGTCTTTGGTGAGCTTATTTTAAGGTAAGAGGGTTGGTGTTATTATTTTATAAGGCTTGCCCTCAAATCCAGCTGTGAAAGCCTTACTTGGAAAGAAAAAAATGTCTGCGACACTCAAGACTAAGACGCTCGAGGTGGGAAAAGCATAGGGTAGATGAACACATGCTCATGCCGGCCCTATTCAACAATGGGAGGCTAGGACAACTTTTAGAAAGTCTACCTAGACTTAGTAGTATGGGAATATGTTCTAAAATTGTTGTCTTTTTAGTTCATGTTTTTTTTTTTTTCCATTTTCTTAATACAGCTGTAGGTTGAGATAATTATGATCTCAAGCACCGTCCAGAAAACAGTGTTTCGTCACATTCCAAACACCTTGAATTTTGTCAAAAAATACTCTGCTGGAGTCATATTTTCAACTCTCTTTGTGTTTGGAAATATAACAAAATGCTGTCCTCTCTTCATCAAACAGCACACAACAAATTCGTAGAATTATCATTAGTTAGTGGAAAACAATGTTTCCTTTAATAACACTGTTTGTGCATTTTCCCAATCTACATGATTATTGCAAGGGTTAGGCACAATGTCCCTAGTACAAGTTATCATAATTATAATACAATACTGTTTTACAGTACACAGTCCTATGAATGTCATTAAATGAATGATTCATACATTGTAAGCAATAAGAATATCCTAAAACTATTTTTAGGCTACATTTGGTCGATAGTTTACACAATCAAATTTACTTTATATTATTTTAAAGATTGTTATCCAAAACATTAACCTGAGTTAATAAATATTATTACATGAGTACATGTACAGCACAAGTGTCAAATTTGACTATATTTTGATCAGTTTTAACCAATTAATTAACCATCTTAAGCTTTACATTGCAATGTTATTAACTATGTAAGAATACTTACATTTCTATATGACAATTTTTTTACCTCAAATATTCTTATTAAAATCACAGTGCAAAAAATAATGATGTATAATTAAAAATATTATTGACAAAGCTATGTTTGCTAAGGCTTACATACAAAGCATTATGCACACTAAATAATATTGTTTGATTTAAAACCTCTGTACAGTTTTTAATTATACACTAAAATCTAAATGTAAAAAGAAACTAAGAATTACCTTAATTTACTATTGTCCATTAGTCTAATTAGAACACTACTGTCATGCAAATATATAATATTTTATACATAACAGAGTGGCTGTCTGTTGGCAAATGCACATTAGTTGTAGTTCTACACAGTGTTGCAGACAAGTGGGAAGTCTCAGGTAAACAACCCTACAAGGTCAGCTACATGACCTCACAAATTACTAGAAAATTAATAATGATTTGATGGGGGTAGTGGGAATTGACCCATTGAAATTCCTTCTTGACACCCAACTTTGAAATCTCATCTGGAGCCCTGATTTCATTTCTACATTCAGCAAAACTGTTTAAAACTACGTCAGCTACTGGGTTATACTAAAATAAAAGATTTAGAACCATTTCTCTTGGTGCCAGCCGATAGAAACCTTGATTTCACAGTGCAGTAACTACAGACTGTAATTATTATTACATAATACCTCCTCAGAGGTGGATAAAAAATGTATTTTTTTGGATTGTACTACCTGGATTTCTGTCATGTTTACATGGTATGAAATTATTCATGTCAAATTGTAGGCATCTCTCTTGCACTGTTGGCTGAGTGTGAAGAGATGTCTGTAGTATTAATTAAAACTACCAAACAATTCCTTGATGATATGCATATGACTAGCCATACACCCTCTGCAAGTGGTTGGCAAAGGCTGTGAGATTATAATATTCCAACTATTCTAAACCATTATCACCAACGTGCATGCTCATGCCCTGTTTGATTCTTTTTATCAAATACAACTTGTCACGGCCAGCCTGCAAAATAATAGGGGTGATGATTAACAGGGATTTTGGCATTTCAGGGAGTCCAGGGAGAATTCCCATTAAAGAGATGGGGCTGGCACTCATTGGAGATGTTGAAAAGAACCTCCAGGAGGTACCAATTCAAGATCCTAGCCATACACCTTCTGCAAGTGGTTGTGGGCGTGGCATGAAATTTTTTCACCCCTAAGAGTTACCAATTTCAAAACAACACATCATCATACTGTTTTTGCCTCTACACCCTGTTTAAAAGACACCACAAAAGCTTCTGCTGTGGACCCTTTGAGGCTGAACACCCAAGAGATACCAAAACTGCCTCTTTAACCCCTAAAAGGTACTACGAGCATCCCAGTCCTTTCCATATGGGAATCTCTCCCCTCCCCCTGGGCATCTTCTACATGAAAATGGGGTTGGGGGAGGTCTTAGATTTTGAGCTTATTGTATCACAGGCAGCCCACTGTTGGAAACTGGCAATAATGTTACATAAAACCAAGCAAAGTTTACACGTCAATTTGTTGTTAGTTGTTAGGGTGTAGGCAGGTGTTGCATCAAGACAATATCTCCATGTGGATTCATGATCTCTTTTATATTGTGTTGATAGTTATCTAGTGAGAATAATTTATTGTTGATTATACTCACCAGGGAAATCTGCTCTTTTAATAGTTTAATCTTCTTCTCATTTGAGTCTTTCAGCATTTTGTGGTAGTAGACAATAACCCTATAAAATTAAGAAGTTGAAATCACTATTAAATTGTTTTTAGCAACATCCCACAGATAAATACTACTAACTTCATGTGGATCATGCAAGCAAAAATTATTTAGTTGATGTTTTTGTCCTTTACATAAATGTAAACCTAAATGCATAACTCCTTGTGCACTGACTCCATCATATGTACATATATCTCTGGAACTACATGTAGTATTACCATGTGAATGGACCTCCATAGAACACAAGTCAGTCACTGATCACAAAATTAATGTATGAGCAACAAAACTGATTAAAGATCACATTGGATCTATGGCAAAGAGTTATATTATGAATCTACATGCTGAAGATAAGAAATTTGAAAAAAAAAAAAAAAAGGGAATTTAGTTACGACAACAAGCACCCTGCTAACAAAATCTCTGTCAAAATTCAGGTTACAATATACATGTAAGTCTTGCAATGAAACAAACAGAGAACATTTCTTCCCACCACGCTGCTAACTGGCATCCAATAAGGACTGGAATACTCTAGAACTGTTCATAAACAAGGATATACTGTCCTTTCTCCAGACAACTGGACAAATATTATTGTACAGAAGTCACCCCTAACCTCTATGGATTAAACTGTAATCTTACCCAAGAATGCAGAACAACATGGTGATGAAGCTTGCTGATGACAAGTAACCAATGGTTAATCGTAACCAGTTAGGAAACGACGCAGTTGTATCAGTAATAACTTGGTACATGAAATCCCGACCTCTGCACAAAAAAACAAAAAACAAAAAAATAAGTAACATTGTACATGCAGTCTAAATGTGTAGGTAGCTCCTTCGCCACGGAAGGAATTTTTTCCAAGACCCTCCCCAAATCTGTCTGGATATTCCAATTACACAGCTTCATATATATTTTTAAATTTTCTGATCTTAGAAAACTGTCCATCCCCAAGGAAATTCCAGACCCCTCTGTGGGGGAATTATGGATATTTTCTGGAACTGCACAGCACTGAAAAAAATTAACTATTATTTTTAGTTAATTTGCTTTCACATTTAATTAATGCAACACCCTTAATGGGGGTTCGACTGTAAATTTTAGATAAAAAACAATGTTTAGATAAAAACAGCTGCCTACATGTATCTGGCTTGAAAATACAAGCCTTATACAGGAAGACAAGGCTTCTAGACCTAGTCTTACGACTAGCCACTTGTGATAATTATAGTAATTTATATCAAGCCACCTGATCAAAATGTGCTCAGAACTAGCTGGCTCGCATTCATCATTCTTGGTTAATAATTTTCAACCACTGTTAATATATACCAATACTTAACTGTAACATAGACAAACTTACTTGAAAGGACCGCACAGTTTTGAAGGGCATGTTCTGTAGAAAGAACAATGCATGTTAACGTACATCTCATTGTGCACACTACTGTTAGTAGCACTCTGGATATATCTTCAGAGGCACCTTCAACATAGTTTATTACAGTTTATATAATAATTAAATAATGCATGTGCTCTAATTGGTCAATCAGCCATGGTTTATTGTGCTAGTAAACTCATGGAAATTTTGCGTGTCTTCTGAATTATTATATAAAGGCAATAGACCACAAGTGTTTATGGTTTATAGGGTGATAAACCACTTGGGATGTTGGAAGAACACTCGCAGAATTCATCAATCACTTGCCTGCGGCTCATGATTTACGAATCCTTCTCATGTTCTTCCAACATCCCGTGTGGTTTATCAGCCTATAAACCATAAAAACTTGTGGTCTATTGCTTAAAAAAAAGTGGAATTTAATTGGGGTATTTGACTAGCATCAGATAAGTCAGCAACACCAGAAGTCTGAGGCGATGATATTTGTCTAAAAAGAAAACCAACTCACACTGACAAGTATCTTGTTTGCTTTTCAAACCCATTTTAACATAATTATTGATTATCTTTGACAAAACATTTACTAACACATCGTCTGACATAATGGTATATCCTATGACAACCAGGGACAGAGTGAAGGTCACAGCCAGTAAAAAGAGGAACAACAAATTCATCCTGGATGCTCTGAATGGCCTCACAGATGGACGACAGTTCATAACCACACTGATCTACAGTGGAGAAAAGAAACAAAGCAAGATTAATTTCTGTTTTCCATAACTGCTTGTTTTTGAAACTTGATGCATGCATACACATATGCATATAATAATGTTTACAAACATTTCCAGTGTACCTGTTGTAAGTATTTTCTTCAGAAACTTTCAGAGCAATCAGCCAAAAAGTGTGACCACTTTTAATTAATTCACATTCTGTCATGCATGCCTGACTATCCAATCAAAAGTGGTAGATGGAATTTCTTGATTTCTGATGGGAAAGTAAGAACGCATGAAAGAGTGTGAATAATTTAAAAGTGGTCAAACTCTTGGGCTCCTTGCTGTAAGAAGTTGATAAAAATGTACTGCTAGTTAACTTTAATTGAAATGATTTATTATACATGTATAGCTTGTGTTTGTAGCTGATATAACACATGCCCTGATTGGCTAATTCTAGGGTATTATTTTTCCCTTATGGCCATGGGCCAATTACGAGCCTGAAAAAACAAAGGAAAAAAGTCACATATGAAAGACAACCTATTGACCTTGAACGTTCGGTCTTTATGGGAAAGTCTCAAACCTCAGCCTCGCCGTATTGACCGCACTATTGCTTGGTCAATATGGCATCGTCTCAGTCTGAGATTTTCCCATAATGACTTCACTCTTGGTTAATAATTAGTTAATAATACCATTACGAGGGATATTAAAAGAGTGCTTATTATGATTGACTAATTAAGTTATCCTGATAAGGTTTAAATTTTGATCAAAGACTTTCCCTCGAAATTTCCATACCTCAATATATTTTTCCCCCACACAAAAACTTGACTGGAATTTTCGGTGGAATAGAAATTATTCTAATTACTCAGACAAGATAACTAGTACACTTAACAAAATTCAAACTACTTGTTAATGGTATTTAAGACCTTATGCATCCGATGGCACAATGAGGACTGATGATGATGATGATGTTAATGGTATTTACTTGTCCAAAACCAGAACAAAATAAAAAGTACATTGAATTTGGAATGTGTAACATTAAGCTATGATTACACATACCCTTTTCACATAAAACAAAATGAACAGCTTTATGACTTGGATTAGTGGTAACATGGGGCTGTAGAATGTGCCAATCCTAAATTCAGAGAAAAATAGATGGAAATATAAATATCCTTCTAATTTATGCTAAAAATACAAATTCTCCTAACTATTGCAAATGACACCAACTTGTTGAAAAAGTGACTATTGGCAGTAAAAAAACTCCTATTGATGGCCATTCAAAAAATGAACAAAAGTTCGAAATCTACAAAACATATAACTTGAAAATATTAAGTGTATGTCAACAATAACAAAATTCAAGATTAGTGCATATAGGAAAACACCAGTGAGGTCTTTTGCAACTTACACCTTGTAGAGCAGGGATGACATATGCCGTGTTTTCATGAGAGAGGTTTACTACGGTTACTGCTTACTGAGGTTTCGTAACTAAACCGCAGTTATTAGAGAGGCTGTTTACACGAAACTAATTAACTAAAGTAGGCCGCATACGACACACAGTTTGAGGTTTTCTCGGAAAGCAAGTGCTGCAATGTTGCTCAGAAACTATTGGAAAATTATAATATTTGACTTTACTCCAATGCCGAAAGCAGGTCGTTGTCAAATTGCTTGTGGTGATGTTGAGCCAAACTCTCCTTAAATGTAAAGCTTTGTAGATGAATAGTGAAAAGAAATTTTGATATCTTGCTGAGCCTCTTCCCGCAAAAAACTTGAAACGGCATCTGCCACGGAGCCCAGGCTATGTAAATATTTACCAGTATGTCTTCTCATTTGGGGCTGCTTTAAATTCTAACATTCGCTTTTCTTCTCCATAGATCTCAATTATGATTTCTGTCTTCTTCTTTTTATGACTTCTACATTCAAATTTGAATTTTTGATCAGGACACCTAATCCTTCTTTGGAGATACTTTCAAATTACCAGTAATCTTCTTTCAATACTATTTCAATGCGTTTTATTGTTTAATACACATTTCTACATCCATAGTAGAATGCCTTAAACACAAAACAATTCTTACCAACATAGGAACTGTGAATATATCAATTCAATTACATTCCTTGAAATGTCAAACCCAGGAGGACCAATTGTCTTGCAACACTGACAATTCACAGTAAGTATCCTAGAATTAGGAGCAGAGAAAAGTTCCTTTAATTTATGTATTGTTACAATATAACTGGATTATCACTTTAAATTCAATGTACCTCTTGAAGGGGTTGGGAGGGGACGGTGATAGAGAGGGGAGTCTAGTACAACTGTACATGTACACGTATTTCAAGTCATAAATCAACATAAATAGAATGATATACCACTCACTCACTCATCCCATTCATCCCAGCTGGGACAAAATGCCATAAACTATTATGTTACAGGTCTCATTCTTGGCCTTTGTTTCACAACAGCCAAGACAGAGAAAAAGTTCTGAATATTCCATCAGTCAAACAGCCAAAGCCAGGGAAGCCCTCTACTACAGGTTAACCAAGTATGGCATAAGTTATGCACTGTGTTAGCAGCAGCCGACCACAGGAAAAACTTTCTTACTACATACTGAAACCCTTACTTAAGATGGAACTCAAAAATGATGTAAGGTGCTCATTAAAAACTTGAAGTTCTAGCAGTTAGGAAGATTGAGAGGGGGAGGGCTCATTACAGAGCAGGACCTTTTTAGTTCAGAACATTATGGCACATTACATGACTGCAAATACATGCAAAGCAAGGGAGTCACATACCTTCGGACAAATTCTCCAAAGAAGGTTGAGAGTAACAAGAACACAAAGTCCACGATGACAAGTCGATAGAATGTGTGTCCAACATAGTTTTCCCAACACTGGCTAATTTCCTAATAATAAGCAGTAGAGAAATAATGAAAGATAGCTGAAAATACTGCATTCACTGATAACAAGTCATCAGTGTGTGTGAATTCTTTGCTGAACCAGTAAAATATGTGTGTAACCATCTCAAGTTCATAAAAGTAATCGATCATAATAATTATTATTGTGTCGTAAAACATACTAACCAGATACTCTCCAAACATGCCTGTAAATTACCTTCTTAATCTATGACTTTTTTCTGTCCAGTTTTATAGAGTTAAGCATACAGTGTTTTTGAGCCACAGATGTCAACCATCAAGACGTTGTGATTTCTTACATGTATGAAGATCGATCCACATGAGCATTAGTCCCTGGTACCTTCTTCAAGACTCAATAGATGTAAAAAAAACAACACTTCTACGAGCAAATCCTGGCAAATTGAATCTATTGTAGGTAAATGCCTGAAGTCGATCAACTTGAAGACCAAACACACTCTATACCTCATGTAAATTATAACAGAAACAGTCCTGGACGGGTTGTAATGACAGTATTACAAAGGGCCACGTCCAGTTGTACAAACAAAATTATATACAATGCCTGGCTGGTTGAATGGTTGATAATTACTATTAATCATCTGTTCCTTCCACATGCTGTCTTCCTCTTACTAAAAGGGAGATGTAGATGTAGATGTACCTTAACAGCTAGATGAGGAACTGAATGTACATGTACATTTTACAATAGTTTTTTTTTTATTTATGTGACACAGTCAAGCATTACCTACACTGCAGATATTTATCAGTATGTGCTTACTCTTTTGCAGGTGTTGTCAGAGCCAGCGTCATCAGAGTCATCAGAGTTGCTTTTACAGTCCCGGCATCGAATGTCCACAAACAATAAAACAACGACCATTGTCACTGATATTAACATCATTAATGTGGTTCTGAAATGCCAAAAAGTTTATTATTGCAACTACAGAAAGGGAAATTTTGGTAATTGGACATTACTGTATATGTTTCTAAGTCATTTTGTGGTCAGTACCTTGCCAAAGTGACGTTAATGGTAGTTCGAGGACTTTTGTATCTTTCTAAGCTTGCAATAATTCGAAAGGCAAATGGCAAAAGAAGGTTGATGCCAGACACTACTAATGGGAGCGTCAGCTTCTCCACCACATTATCTGTGTCCTTAGTAAAAAGATACATCGTTCATTTATTATTTATTAGGTATTATTATTAATAATATTGATATTAAGCCCTACAAAATACCAGAAGGTCTTCATGGTGAAAGAGACCAGACAAACATACCCCCTTTCCCCCCACCCACCTGATAGAGCATTGACATTTATTCTTCCAGCCTACTGTACATATGTACATACATGAACTTGTACTGAAAATACTAGATTACATGTACATGTACCCTTCAACATTGATTCTGAAGGAGGGAAGCTCAGAAAATTGAATATAACTGAAATAACAGTAAGTCCACTAGAGTCCATAAGACAATCACCAGCCAGGATCTTAAAACAACTCTCAATGGATCAATACCGTCCAATAACTGTTATAACCAATTATTAGATTTGGTTTTTGTGATATCTAGAATAATCAATGTCGAGGTAGGGGTTATCAGCCAAAGCCAAGGCTGAGGCCGATAACCCTTACCGAGACCTTGATTATTCTGCATATCACAAAAACTAAATGTAATAATTGTTTTCTTATACATTGAAGGGAAAAAAATGGAAGTCACGTTTTTGCTTCTTCAGTGACGGCAAGCAACACACAAGCACACGAACCTGACGTGATTACCCTTAGAAATCATGCACCGCAGTCATACATGACATGTCTACCCATGACCTTGAGTGTCCTTGACATGATTATTACATAATCTGCAGCTAGATGACGTCACAGGCACTGATTTCGAAAAGTCACTGTACGCTTTTGGCCAATCAGAAGAGAGATAGTGAGTTCAATGTTTAATAATTTTTAATAAACACAAGACACTCACCTTCAATTTCAGACATCTTAAGTTTTTATATTATTGTGAGTGCAAAGCCTAATTAATAGTGACCCCTAGCAAATTATTGTTCAAATGGTATTAATTAAAAGTTAATTACACGGGGAACATAAATTATTGTTGTACATGTATTACTTACATGACACCTTCATTGATACAATTACATGTAGTTGAAGCTTATACGTTATTATTGATTCAAAATGATTTGCTTACTGATTTGAGTGATAGGTTGGCTGAGAACTGGATGAGATAGGCTGCTCCTGCCATTAAGGTCAGGACATTGAAATTTGTGAGGATACGAAGCCAGAATATGTTACACTTCTCACTCAATGTGCGAGCCACATTATAATTCTGCTCAGCAATGGCCTCCTATAAAAGGAAGTTTTTTCAAAATTAAATCAGCTAAAAACATACACATTTACTCGACAACGACATCCCAACGATGTTGAAACGTTATTATAATGTATTACTCCTGCTAATTTTTGTGTTGGAAATACATTAACCACAGAAAAATTTAACCTTGAGTTTGTAAAGGGGCAGTGGTGTCAGGACGTCTTGCACTCATAATGGACTGGGAGGGAGATAATTGTGTTACCAGGATCTGTAGGGTGAGACACAAATGATTGCCAAGGTACATGTAGCTGAGTGTTACATAGGATTGTGTGATGTAGATGGTTGGGAAGCTTGTGACCATAAAACGGGTTGGCGGGGAGCTTGTGACTGTGCATGTCTGATATTATAATAGCAATGTACATACATGTATCACATTTGCAGATGGTAGACTGTAGACTTTTTTGACTAAAACTAAATGTCAAATTCCCAAGTTTTCATAAACAGGTTAACCTGAGTGATATTCAGGCTAAACAGAGCTCTATTTAGGCTTTGTGGCACAGTGGATGGTGGTGCTCCTCACAACTATTTTGCTATAATTTGCAGCTCCATATCAACTATACATTGCATACGCTGTCTATCAGAACTTAAACATTCTTTCCTGGCCTGATAAGAATTAACTTTTGTAAGATATAATTATTTTTTACAGAAAACATTCTACAGTCAGTCAACTGTAATACTCATAGCAACAGCAACACAAACACACCTGAAGTTCATTGAAGATACTTTTTTGTTTCAACAATGCTGCACTCCTGTCTGTTATTCCATAATCCCACGAACAAAAGGCTTTGGAAATGAAGAAACTAAATTCATCTCCAGCGTAGATATAGTTCTCTCTGTATGAGTTTGCCATGCTATATTTATGTTAGAATAAAAAAAAAACTGATCATGACATGATTGTGTGAATTGAGTTATGAACTATCTCTCCTCACAAACTTTCATAGTTACATCATGTAGATATCTTGTTCGTATTTCCTCAAACTTTGCTATTTGTATTAAATAGTTTTGGACAAACTTAAAAAAGCCATATTAAAGTTAGCATTGGCTACTCAGACAGTGGCCTTTTGCATGACTGTACAAAATGAGCTTACGTGTAGAAAATATTAATTAAGAGGCACTTAACATCACACTTCCTTATCTTAAATTAATTATTACCGTATTTTCCCGTGTATAAGTCGACCTTTCAAGACCTAAAAATCAGTCCAAAAATTCGCCCTCGACTTATACATGGGTCAAAACTTGAGATCC